AACTGATTACCAAAAATAATTTAAGTTTATTAAAAACAATAGTTATGAGTTCTCTGAACTTATTTTCATTGATTCACTAAAACAATAATAATTCTGAATACACAATTAAACTTTACATTGCATTTAAATACTAAATAAAGCTAAAACTTCACTTTATTGAGTAAAAACAGTGAAATGACAAACTTTAAATGAACTTAGAGCACCTGCAATTACTGTTAGCTCACAACATCACACACAAAGCCAAATCCAATGAGTTCCTAACTCATAACTTTTGATGTAATCGATTACATAAATTAATTTAAGTTTATAAGAAAACAAAAGTTATGAGTTCTCAGATTTTTTTTCAGTTGAGTGATTAATTAGGTGATTAGTTAAGTGATTAGTTAAGTGATGGTTGAGGATTAGAGATGAACACCTGCCGTTAATCAGCAGAATCACTGAAGGAAAGATGAACACAAGAACTACAACTGACTTCCAACAACAACATTCGATAAAATCAACTGAAGATAATATGTTTAACCTCTAAAGATTTCAGCAGAGGAGAATTGAACAACTCCACAAACAGCATTACCAGCTTCACTTATTATCAACCAGTTTGAGTTTTATCATGCGTCTACAGAAGTTTTTATTGTGAATGAACAGACGTCTACTGTAGATGAAGATGATTTATTGAGTTTTATTTATTGAGACACCAGTGGTCAGTGTTTGCTTTAGTTGGGCTCTTGACCCTTGTCTTTATAACACCAGTTGTTCCTCTGGCTGCTGTAACTGAGTGTTTATGACACACATTTGTTATGGCCCAAAAGCCAGTGTGAGCATGTGGTTGTGTTCTGACAATGACTTATGAAATTATGAATCATCATTTAGTGTCGTGATTGTCTAATCTCTGTACTGATCACTGATTAAAATTTTTCTTTATAAGTTACAGTGATTCTGCTGTAAGGCCAAATGTTGTGACAATCAGATTTTAAAAACATCTATGTTATCATGCTGACTTACACAGACATCAAGAATCAGTATATGAATCTCAACAGTGGTGACCTTTCAAAAACGATTCATGCTGCAATGAATGCTGAAAGCCGTGTATGCATTGTGTATTATGGTATTACCCAGCATGCAATGCAGCATGAATTGTTTTTCAAATGGTCACCATTCTTGAGATTCATATCCTGATTCTTGATGTCTGTGTTATTCATTGTAATGCAATTTTTTTGTGCACAAACCATCTGTAAAATAAGAACATTACCCTTTTAATCAGAGCTTAGATTCTGATAGAGATCAGTCAGTCAAGTCACTAAATGATGATGATGATCATCATCATCACCATTCCTTGACCAACATCTCCTTATCATACTTTTCCTTGACTTCTCTGCCATAACACATGTGTTATAAAACAAGTAATTACAACAGCCAAAGAAGAGAATATGTGCAAATGTCAAGCGTCAAGGGACCAACTAAAGCAAACACTGATCTCCATCACGGTGTCCTTAATCCTTGTTCCTCGTTTCTTCAGTGATTCTGCTTATTAACAGCAGGTGTTCATCACTAATGCACAATCATCTCTGAATTAGTAACTTAACAATACAATTATTATTCAATTATCATTCTGGGATCAAGAATGTTCCATAACTCATAACTTTTGAGTTATGTTTCAGTCTTTGTGTCCACATAGCTTTCGGTAATATTTGAGCCCAGTAAACTCAATTTATTTTAGTGCAAACAACTGTTAGGTTTTAGAAGACATCCAGATATTGTTTCCACACTGATTTCTCCAGAAATTAACATCTGAAGCTAAGGCATGTGTTTCTTGTAGAAAATAAAAATCGGCCTTGAAAGTTTTACAAAATAAAAATACAGCTTTCCTCTGAGTCTGTTCTCGTAGACATTAAGTGAATAAAATGACAAACAGAACAAGTTCACTAAAAAGAAAAGAGAAAACCTTGAGATCATAAATGTAACAAAGAGGGAAAATTATTTTCTTCACCTTTTGAAAACTGATCAGAACAAGCAAACTTGGGATTATAAATCTGACCTTTGACCTGTCAAACATTAAATATAACAGCACATCACTAAATGTATTTAGAGTACAATTGAACTTCTCATGAAAGTCCACAGCAACTTCACTTTTAGATCGCATCAGAGCTGTCATTACATGTGTGTTTCTTTACCCTCAATGATGGCTCTGGCTGTGATGAAGAAGGCTCTTCTCCCTCGCTTCTTCCTCTTCCATCTGTGGCAGTTCACAGTTTAGTGCGAGTCTCTTTGTCTTTCCTGGTCAAATCTTCGCCCAGTTTTAACTTCTTTATTTTTAGGAATTTCCACATTTCCAAACCTTTTCTTTGGTGGATCTTAATGCAGATCTTGTTCTCAGCGGTCGAGTTTTCCCATCCTCTCTCCTCCCGATCCTGTGTCTTGCTTCAGTTTGGGAGCGGAGATCCTCTTCAGGGTCTTGAATGACTCTTACAGATGTCAATCACATGCTGTTTAACATCTTCTCCTTCCTCTGGCAAGACATACAGCCTCAAGTTCCTTCTGTGATAGCGTCCATTTCATTCAATCTTCTTCCAGGCCTGTGATTCTCTTCTGATGGTCATCACTTGCAATTTAACCGTTTTTATTTCTGTTTTCATGTCTTGAAGAGAAACTCTGATGATTCCTTTAAAGCTTCGACTGTCTCCGCATTTTTCTTTATCAGGCCTGCAAGATTGTCCACGTTCTCTTTTATTTTTTCAGCTACAAGCCTCACGATGTTATCCTGCAGTTTGGAGAGTGTAGGTTCAACTTTAACTTTCTTTGCGACTGGAGCGACGGAGCGGACTCAGGAAAATGGACAATTCCTCTGTGGAAATTAGTGTAGGTGTGCATATCACTGGCTTTGACAACTTCCAGAACATCCTCAGTCACTTCTCTGTTCTCAGTGGTGAATGAAAGCGTCTTGTTTGTCTTTTTCCTCGATTTCTCGGCCTTTTGTCTGTCATCGTTTTTTTAAACAACTAGATAGTCACGCTTGAAAGGGAGTCCAAATTGTCCTGTTATGACGACAGCAATATAAAGATATATTTCCAGTTGTTTGCACAGATCAGATTTACCGTTTAAGGTGAGAAAATCGTTTATCTTTGTTCATCTTTGTACCATCTTGCTCCCCAAGGCTGCATCCTCCGAAGGCCGTATTCGAAGGCCGGTTGCTCATCGCGGCGTGACGAAGGCGACCCTGATTTAAAAGCGACGCCAAATGCACCCTTCGTTTCCCCGTGAGAGAGAGGACACAGTAATGGACCCTTAGCTGCCTTTCCTACCCCATAAGTCATCGCGCCGCTGACGACAGCATTTTTATTTGAAAAAATGGCGGCCGAGAGTACGGTGGACGATGGCAAATTCACATTTAAATGTAAGTATTATGTTTTCATTTACTTCAATACCTATTGAAACCAGAGTTAAAAGTCACAAGTTTTTCTTTCTTTTAAAATTCATCTTAACTCCTTCATCAGCGAGGCTTCATTTGTCAGGTGGTTTGAGGGAAAACTTGTGATAATAGTTGTTTAATCGTGTTTCAGGGAGCAAAGAGCAGACAAAGCAATTTATTAAAAATTGAAAATGACCATTTATTTACCGGGGGCCAAAAACTCCTCCAGCGTGGCTTGGAGGAAAGACAACAACCTGTGTGTAATATTTGCAGTAGTCTGTCTCACTTGTGTACAAAGTATTATAAGAAATATCAGTCACCCTATAAAGCCCACAACAATAAGAAAAGCATTGTCTTATGGCAATGCGGTTTCACTTTTATGTGTTTGTGTAGTGCTGTCATGCAAGCTGTGTCTGAAGGACTGCAAGTGTCCTGGGACAGGTGAGGGTGTGTGTGGGAAACACACTGCTGAAACTTGGCCCTGATTTGTCCTCATGGATGAGGTGTTCGGACAGAGCCACTCCTCGAAGTTCAATTAAATGAGGTATTTTATGAATTTTTAAATGAGAAAACTAAGTTGTGTACAGTTTATTTAAATGAGATGATGGACATTATTTTTGCTCCATTTCTGTGCATTGCTCATTTTTAACAATTAACTTGATGTGCTGGGATATGAAATAAAAATAAATATGGACATTGATTATTTAATGATAAGTGCAATTTGCAAAAAAACAAAAAAAACAAAAAAACAAAAAAACAAACAAAAAAAAAACACTTCAATATATATATTCTCATAACATTTGAAAATTAAAATAAATACTTATATAGATACATACAGGTTTAAAACTATTCACAACTTATATATCATCTGAAATGAAAAAAATTCAATTCATTTTTTTAAAACAGCTTTAATTCATTTCATAAGACACCATACATGATGATTTGTATTAAATCATAAAACATAGAATCAAGAAAAATATAATATAATAAAAAAAACACACTTTAGGAGAAAAAAAAATGTTGGTGCCTAAATTAAAAGCGTACTCTGTGAAGTTTAATTGTGAACAAACAGATTAGTTATCTACATTAGTTAACATTAACTAAGAATGACAATACTTATTCAGCATTTGTTAATCTTTGTTAATGTTAATTTCAACATTTACTAATACTTTATTAAAATTGTTAACATTAGTTAATGCACTGTGAACTAACATGAACAAAACAATGAACAGCTGGATTTGTATTAACTAACATTAACAAAGATTAACAAAAACAGTAACAAATGTATTGCTCATGGTTAGTTCATGTTAGTAAATACAATAACTAATGTTTAATAAATGAACCTTATTGTAAAGTATTACCCAAGAGGATTGAATATAATAAATACAAACCTCAGGATGTCAGTCATTTACAATATCCAGCATCTTAGATAATAGTCCAGAAACAGGGAATATAGCAGATGCACTGTTGAAATGTCTATTTAAGAGGTTTTAAACAGGATTTAGAGATATATGTGGTATAATATCCCGCTCCAGTGCAGTAGGTGTCAGTGTGACACTGTTCAGCTGTTCCAAACCCTCCTGTAAAACACACGAAGAACAGCAAAACGAAAGGAACAACTGTCCACATCTAAACCTGTCGCTCACTGGATTTGATTTCATCTATGATTCAGAAAACATGTCTATAGATGTCGATTTAGCACAATGCCTACCAAATCTAATAACACTCGCGGACATTTATGTGTTTAATCCACAATCCATCGAGACCAGCAAGAGATTCTGAGAACGACGCGCGCGAACTGACAACAAGCGTTACTAAGTTTAAAATACTGATAAATTCTCTTCTTAGTGGACAAGACTGCAAGTAAGTTTATTACATTCCCCATTACAGTCATTTTTTTTTTATTAATAAGAACTTCATATTGTATATTAAGCGAGATTTAAATGTGAAGTTACAGAAGGCTGTTCTCCTGCTACTCCGAACAGAAGAAGAATCTGCCAGAAATGACAATCTTTTGAAGTAAAAACACAAAAACTTTTATTGAGAAAACAAGGGCTATTGAAAACAAAAATGTTTTTGAAAGTTTTCTCCCATTTCCTCTTCCGTGTTAGGCTGGGTTTTTTTATGTGAAATCGAAAGTATTTTTGAAGCAGACATTTACAGTAGACAGACAGATGAAGCCTAACGTCAATCAACAACAACCTGCTGTTATTAAACTCAATATTTCAGTTCATATAGCAATTATGATTAGTAGTATTACAAAATGTCTATTATAATTTAGATTACTTTTACTTAATCAGTTATTTTAGGATAATTTGAAAGTAATGATATCAATGATTTTTGTGAACTTGAATATGTTTGTAAAATGATATTATAATAGAAAATATGTCAAATTGAGTTCAGTTTTCCAGCACAGTGTACATTTCTGTTCCCCAATGAATTCATATTTAGAGTCCGTTAAACTCATTGAACAATCAGACATGATTAAGACCATTCGATTATTTTACATGGCAATATATTTGTTTGTAACTCACCTTATTTGATAGATTGTTTTTGCTGTTGTTGATGATGAGTCTTTATTCTTCAATAAGATGTTGTTGATGTGTGTAAATGTTGTGATTTGCAGGTGATGCTGAAGGATTGAGTGTTTTCTGATCAGTTTTCAGGGTCAGTTTAGCTGCAGTATGTCAGAGGAAAGAGGAAAGGACTCTCTCTCTCAGATGAGTCTCTCAGAGAAACACAGGTGAGACTGCGTCTGTTTTCACACTCTCACTTTAAACTCCACTGGACTTTGTGTTTCCCTGTCAATAACACAACTTTAAGCATTGCTCTGTATTTACAAATGCTTTGAACAACTTCAATTTTAACTTCTTAAATTAAAAGTGACATTATTTATAAAGCCCTGTTTGGTCTATAGAAAATATCACAGTTAATAATTTGTTAATAACCTTCTGACGCTGAAGTAATCCAAATAAATGAATTTAGTATTTAGATCATAAAATTATTGACAGATATTAGAAAACAACTATACACTTACAGGTTCTTTAAAATTAGCATATTGTGATAAAGTTATTATTTTCCATAAAGTAATGATAAAAATTAAACTCTCATATATTTTAGATTCATTGCACACCAACTGAAATATTTCAGGTGTTTTATTGTTTTAATACTGATGATTTTGGCATACAGCTCATGAAAACCCAAAATTCCTGTCTAAAAAAATTTGCATATTTCATCTGACCATAAAAAAGAAGTGTTTTTAATACAAAAAGGTCAACCTTCAAATAATTATGTTCAGTTATGCACTCAATACTTGGTCGGGAATCCTTTTGCAGAAATGACTGCTTCAATGCGGTGTGGCATGGAGGCAATCACACTGCTGAGGTGTTATGGAGGCCCAGGATGCTTCGATAGCAGCCTTAAGCTCATCCAGAGTGTTGGGTCTTGCGTCTCTCAACTTTCTCTTCACAATATCCCACAGATTCTCTATGGGGTTTAGGTCAGGAGAGTTGGCAGGCCAATTGAGCACAGTAATACCATGGTCAGTAAACCATTTACCAGTGGTTTTGGCACTGTGAGCAGGCGCCAGGTCGTGCTGAAAAATGAAATCTTCATCTCCATAAAGCTTTTCAGCAGATGGAAGCATGAAGTGCTCCAAAATCTCCTGATAGCTAGCTGCATTGACCCTGCCCTTGATAAAACACAGTGGACCAACACCAGCACCCCAGACCATCACTGACTGTGGGTAGTTGACACTGGACTTCAGGCATTTTGGCATTTCCTTCTCCCCAGTCTTCCTCTAGACTCTGGCACCTTGATTTCCCAATGACATGCAACCACTGAGCAACAGTCCAGTGCTGCTTCTCTGTAGCCCAGGTCAGGCGCTTCTGCCGCTGTTTCTGGTTCAAAAGTGGCTTGACCTGGGGAATGCGGCACCTGTAGCCCATTTCCTGCACACACCTGAGCACGGTGGCTCTGGATGTTTCTACTCCAGACTCAGTCCGCTGCTTCCGCAGGTTCCCCAAGCTCTGGAATCGGTCCTTCTCCACAATCTTCTTCAGGGTCCTCAGGGGCATTTTTTTGCCACACTTTTTCCTTCCCACAGACTTCCCACTGAGGTGCCTTGATACAGCACTCTGGGAACAGCCTATTTGTTCAGAAATTTCTTTCTGTGTCTTACTCTCTTGCTTGCGGGTGTCAATGATGGTCTTCTGGACTGCAGTCAGGTCGGCAGTCTTACCCATGATTGCGGTTTTGAGTAATGAAACAGGCTGGGAGTTTTTATAAGCCTCAGGAATCTTTTGCAGGTGTTTAGAGTTAATTAGTTGATTCAGATGATTAGGTTAATAGCTCGTTTAGAGAACCTTTTCATGATATGCTAATTTTTTGAGATAGGAATTTTGGGTTTTCATGAGCTGTATGACAAAATCATCAGTATTAAAACAATTAAACACCTGAAATATTTCAGTTGTTGTGCAATGAATCTAAAATATATGAAAGTTTAATTTTTATCATTACATTATGGAAAATAATTAACTATCACAATATGCTAATTTTTTGAGAAGGACATGTAATTCAATTTAATTCAAGTATGCTAACAAAACTGTTGCACAGACATTTCTGTTCTCTATTCTGTCAATAAATAAAAACTTGAAATGTTCTCTTAAATTATGGTCAAGTATATTATATATTCTTAACATATTTAATCTCACTCATGTATATTAAAGAAATTGTTAAAGGGACACTCCACCCATTTGCATTAAGATTTCCTTTGTTAGAAACCCAGTTATACTATTGAATGGTCGTGCAACACTCTCTCATTTTCCCGAGACGAGAGAAATCCACTATTTACCTTTTTCACTTCCTCCTACAATGACGCAAAAATCGTAATTTTACGTCATCGTAGGAAGTGTAAGGGGGGGGGGGGATTTCTGTAAAGACTACAAGCACTAGTTCCCACCCTTTCAAACCCACCCATAGGGGGTTGGGCCTAATGCCCTAACAGACCAATCACAGATCAGTGCCAGTGCGTTTGATTTCACCAAAATATGGACGACAGTACTGAATACGTAGACTGATGCATTATGGATAGGGTTGGGTACTGAAATGCGGTGCCAATAGGGAACCGGTTCCGACTTAAACGGTAATAACCAGACCGAATAAGAATGAAAATCTCTGTGTCACGAGGTGCACACACGCAAAGTCACTCGCTCTCTCACTCTCCGCAGTGCGTGCATTATACAGTTTGGAGCACAGTCTGATCTGTCTCGCATGCGCACTCTTGCTCACTCGCTCTAGATTCCCGGAGATTTTAACTACAGTAATTTGCGGGCATCAGGGAGTCGTTATCAATATGCAGGAGACTCTTAGCGAGGGGATTAATGAAGATGCCGAAGACAAAACGCTCCAAGGTTTGGCTGCATTTCACGTGTAAAACTACGCATCAGAGTAAGTGTGGCGATTGAAGCCCATATAGAATCACGCCAGTTCATTGACTGATGGGGCGGGCGCCGCCTTGACGCTCTTACATCGTCATATTATATTAGCATACATTATCTGATTTCATTGTGCGAAATGATTTCCAGGCGGTAGCGTAGAGTGGAGCTCAACTCTAGTCTACATTGATGGGTGGAGTAGTGGGAGTAGGGCTGAAACGATTAGTCGACATTGTCAACAACATCGACAATACAAAATTGTCGACAAATATCGTTGTTGTCGAGTAGTCGTTTTATCTCACTTGACCTAATATAAGGGCGTGCAATATCGCGATTTGACCGCTACAGCGCTGTGGCGCTAGAGTGTTATGCGGCCCTTTTACAAATGGTATTGCGGTAAAAGAAAAAACAGTGCAAATGAATCCGAACTAGCAAGGTTTGGGAAAGTTTCACAAAACACAAAGCCAACAATGCTGTCATGTTCAATACATGCAAGGCAGAACTTGCTTTTCACGGAAGCACCACATGCATGTTGGAGCACTTAAAGAGGAAACATCACGTCAAAAGAGGAGCCGGTGAGAATTGAGTGTTCTCCAGCTGGAGCTAACTAGCGGTAAATCTCTTTATTAGATAATGCAGTACTACTGATAATAGTAATAATATTATCAATACTAATATATTGGGATTATTTATTTTGCATATAGCTTGATTGAGCTTAGGAGTCCTGGCTGTTTTTTTATTGTAACACTACTAGGTAGTCTTATCACTCGCCTGTATTTTGTTCCATAATAATGAAGACTTACAAAAGGTGTTAGGAAGAATCTCATGGCAGTTACTTTTTCTTTTTCATACTGTAAATTAAAAGGTAAATGAGAACGTCCTTGTCAGCTCAATTGTCATGTAAAAAAAAAAAATAATAATTTTAATTATTTTTTTAATAATTTTTTACTTCATAATAATATAATAAAGGTTTGCAGATTAATATTTTACCATTTTTTTGTCCTGAAGTAAATGACCCTTTTTCTGTTTCAGTTCTAAGAAAAGCAGTGGGCCTATTAAACAATGCTTAGAGAGCATTTGATCTTTTGGATGTGATTTGAGTTGGACCAGAATCTGAAACTTAAAGAGGAATTACCCTTTAAACTATAGACCATTTTGCAAGATGTAAACAACACTGGTCCAGAAGCACTTCCTGTTTCAGTTCTTTAACACTACATAAAAGCTGGGATAAAATACAACCAACAGAACATGTAACTGAATTAAAAAAGTTAAACAACATCTTTAAGATGTTTTCTTTACATGTGAAATAAAGAAAACAGTTACAAACTGAAACAGGAAGTGTTTCTGGACCAGTGTTGTTTACATCTTGAAAAATGGTCAATAGTTACACATTATAATGTGAGCCAGTAAATAAAATGATGGTTAAGTATAAAACGGTAAATTGTGTGAGTGTGTGTGTTTCTGTGGAGGATTAGATAAAGACACAGATGTGTTTCAGACACAGTTGATCCTCCTTTACTAAAGTGTTTTCTCTCTCTCTCTGTTCTTTGTGTCATCAGTGTAAGATCAGGCTCACATGTGTCCAGCTCTGTGTCTCTGAAGAGTGATCAGTCTAAAGATGGACTTCCACTAAACTTCAGTGAGAAAACACCATCATCTAATAAAAGGTATTTTGTTTTGCTCATTGTGTGTCACGTGTTGTTTAACTCTTTAAAAGTTGTATCAGTGAATACCAATCATGAAACACGTTTAGATCAAATATTTGCCAGAGTATTCACAGCTAATGCTTATTTCTCTTTCTGTAAAATATCAGTTAGTATTTTATTTTACTAATGTGATTACAGGCTTAAATATGAGACATTAGACTCAGACCTTCAGACTCACAGGAACCACGAGAATTTCAAAGACAATCTTCTTGGGATCTTCCAGGTAGGAAAACACATTTTATAAATGTTTAATATTTCTAATAAACAAATCTGTTTTTGAAAAAAAATAAATGTAATTACATTTTTTTTCCTCTCCTTTTTTTCCTTTTAAACACATTTTAGTACAACTTGGTTATCATATCATGTCTTGAACTGGATTTTTCTATGTACATGTATTATAAGTATTTAATGAATAGTGTTTACAAAATGTAGATCTACAATTTAGCTTAAATTATGTTATACTGTCTTATCTCTTTCTTACTTTGTTTGTAGGATCTTGAAAGCAAAATAATCACATTTCTGAAGAATGAACTGGAGAAGTTAAAGAAAATATTACAACATGAGAACACACAACACTTTGTGAAGGACTTTAATGAGAACAGATCCAGTATCAAATCAGCAGCTCTTGATCTCACACTACATTACCTGAGAGAGATGAAGCAAGATGAAGCTGCTGATGCTCTAGAAGGCAAGAGACTCGTGATCATCTGTCTGATTGTCTCTTATAAATGTAGGAGAAGAAATGAAGACTAAAACTATCTATTTTCTGTTCCTGTGTTTAGATGAGCTGTTCTTCATTCATCAGCTGAAATGTGGCCTAAAGAAGAAGTATCAATGTGTGTTTGAAGGAATGTCGAAGCAAGGTGACTCCACACTCCTGAATAACATCTACACAGATCTCTACATCACTCAGGGTGGCAGTGAACAGGTCAATACTGAACATGAGGTAAGACAGATTGAAGTTGCTTCCAGACGTCATGAAGCACAAGAGATACAGGTTAAATGCACACATTTGTTTAAAGCGCCTGAACAAGACGAGGAGATCCGAACTGTACTGACAAAAGGAGTTGCTGGCATCGGGAAATCAGTCTCTGTGCAAAAGTTTGTTCTGGACTGGGCTGAAGGAAAAGAAAATCAAGATATCAGCTTCATATTTCCTCTTCCATTCAGAGAGATGAACTTAAAGGAGAAAGAAAAACTAAGTTTGATGGACCTTATAACTCAGTTTTTCCCAGAGACAAAAGGACTGAACCTTACAAGAAGGAATCAGTTCAAAGTGCTGTTCATCCTTGATGGACTGGACGAATGTCGCCTTCCTCTGAAGTTTGATTGTAATGAGACGTGGCGTGATGTATCGTCACCAGCCTCTCTGGATGTTCTCCTAACGAACCTCATGAAGGGAAATCTGCTTCCTTCTGCTCTCGTCTGGATCACCAGCAGACCAGCAGCTGCCAGTAAGATTCCTCCTGACTGTATCGACCGGCTGACAGAGATACGAGGATTCAGCGACGCACAAAAGCAAGAGTACTTCAGAAAAAGATTCAAGGATGATATTCAAGCCAACACAATCATAGATCATGTTAAACAATCAAAGAGTCTCTTTATCATGTGCCACATCCCAGTCTTCTGCTGGATTTCAGCCACTGTTCTCCAGAACATTCTGGAGGAGAAGAGAAATAATGATGTGAGAAACACTCAGGCTGATGAGATCTCTAAAACACTGCAGGAATCAAACACTGAAGACACTCCCAAGACTCTGACACAAATGTACACACACTTTCTCCGCTTTCAGATCCAGCAGAGCCGCCGGAAATATGATGGAGAATACACACCAGATGTTTCCTGGGATAAAGACACCATCCTTTCACTGGGGAAACTGGCATTTCATCAGCTGGAAAGAAACAACCTGATCTTCTATGACACAGACCTGGAAGCCTGTGGTCTTGACGTCTATAAGGCATCAGTGTACTCAGGCATGTGTACCCAGATCTTTAAGGAGGAAACAGGGATCGTTCTTGGTACCATGTACTGCTTTGTTCACTTGAGCATTCAAGAGTTTATTGCCGCCCTTTATGCACATCTGTTTCTAGACATCAACAAGACAAGTGTGTTTGATCATGAGTCTACAGAACAGGAAAACAGAAATGAAACCATGATTGATTTTCTCAAGACTGCAGTGGACAAGGCGCTGGAGAGTGACAATGGACACCTGGACCTTTTCCTTCGCTTCCTCCTCGGTCTGTCACTCCAGTCTAATCGACGACTCTTACGAGGTCTGTTGACACAGCGAGACGGCACTGACCTGAGCAACACTGAAATAGTTCAGTACATCAAGCAGAAATTAGAGGATAATCTTCCTGCAGAGAGATCCATCAATCTGTTCTACTGTCTGAATGAACTGAACGACCAAACTCTGGTGAACGAGATTCAGACCCACCTTAGCAAAGGAAGTCTCTCATCTGGTGACCTTTCACCTGCCCAGTGGTCTGCTTTAGTCTTTGTGTTGTTGACATCAGAGGAAGAGCTGGAGGAGTTTGAGCTTCAGAAATTCAAGAAATCAGACGAGTGCCTCATTAGATTATCGGCAGTCATTAAAGCCTCCAGAAGAGCTCTGTAAGTCTTTTATATATTTTGTCATGTTTTACTCTCATCTGAAAAATGCATTTATCTCAATAGTTGTTCTATCATAAACATGAAGCTAAACCTGTGTGTGTGTGTGTGTGTGTGTGTGTGTGTGTGTGTGTGTGTGTGTGTGTGTGTGTGTGTGGACAGTTTATCACAATTTAAGACAAAATATTAAATATCTTGTAAAAATGTTTGCATGATTGTTTTGTATCATATGATACACCAGACTTGTATGACTTATTATATAGAATTATATTATCACATACTCATACTTGAGGTAGAAAAAAAAATCCATATTTTATTCATATACCCAAACTGGGGGGAAATAATGTAATTTGGTAAAGAATTGATGTGATTTATATTTCCAAAACGTAATATGAAATTTTGAAAGGTTATAGATAAAACATTGAGATTTTTATGAAACAGGCTACTAAAATAAAATACCTATATCTCACCACATCATATACTAGTTTTCCCTCAGTTTCTCTCAGTAATTATATATTTAAATTAGTGATGCACCGATGTGAAAATTTGTGGCCGATACCGATAACCGATATTAACATTGCTGTTATGGCCGATACCGATATTTACCGATGTCGATATCCCTGTATAGAAAACACATAGCGAGGATTAGGGCTGCACGATATTGGTAAAAAATGACATTGTGATATTTTATTTTTCTGCGATATATATTGTGATATAAAAACAATTTCACCAGATTACTTGAATTGCTCTATTTGGAAAGAATGAATCATTCTAGAATGACTGGGGTAGTTTTGTCATGGAGTATATCCACAGAAACTAATATTAATAGAATGTTAACAAAATTTGTTAACATTCTATTAATCTATTAACCTTACACTTTACATTTAATGTACACTTTAATAAATGGAACCTTATTGTAAAGTGTTTCCGATTTATGTATCTTGAGCTCAGTGTTGGACAGATCAGTTGTTTTAACCATTCATTAAAGTGAATCGGTTCAAAGGAGTCATTAGTTCGCGAATCGGACGTGTCATTAACGGAACCACGGCACACGTTGTGTGATTATCCAGGCAGTTTAGAACATCGCAGGAGATTTGTCTCGACCTATTTTTACAGTCTATGGTCTCGACAGTCGACACAGAAAACATTTCATCAACACGATAGATTTGTTTTTTTTTTGGTTTATTGAAAGTGTGGTTTCACAATTCACAACCAGTAGTTCAGAAGAAAAAAACTTCGGTCTTCCGACCTTTTACCATCGTGTATTCTCAAAGATATTCAGTCAACTCAATTCATAAACATGCGTGAGGGGGAGAGAGAGCAAGACATTTTGAAGACGGCGCGCGTGACCGGTGCTTTCACTCTCTCTTGTTCCCTCCGTTAAACAAGCGAAAGACATTTTGAAGGCGGCGCGCGTGTCCGGTGCTTTAATTGACTCTCGTTCCCTCAGTTAAACAAGCGCACCAGTCACTCATCTACATCACTTACCGGTCAAATATGGCTTTGGCGGGACAAAAATACGCATTAGGAAGGCTGGCAGAAAACAGCTCACCAGTTCCAGTCTTCGTGCGCTTGATGTTTAAACGCACTTGCGCTTTTAATACGCGTGCAAAAACAAACATCGCCGCCCCCACGCACGTCAAATACACAGGGAATGATCATCGGCCTGTTCACATCGGCCCTATTTTGACATCGGAACGATACCGATGTGTAAAAAATTGACCAAATCGGCCGATATTATATCGGCGGCCGATATATCGTGCACCACTAATTTAAATGCTTATTTCTATGAGTACTTCTGTAGTTTAAAGGGTTAGTTCGGTATTTTACACTTAAAGCCCTGTTTTAAGATTCGTTTCTGATGAAATAGTACGGTTAAGATTGAAATTTGGACAAATGCTGCTGTCCCGAGAATTTTAGGTTTGTGTGTTAGCACCCTCCACCTACACAATGGTTGTCTATGTGCACTGGAACAATCATTCATAAAACGCATTAAACTTTAGTTTACTAAGACGTGAAACACACCGAGGGGTCTGGGGTGTTCGCTGATATGCTCACACAAAAATCACTGCAAAAGATGCTTTCCAACAGGTTTTATTGTAGTTTTTGCAAAAACAGTATTGCAGTAGACATACAATTTAAAAGAAAAGAAACACAACAAATTAAATGTATTTTGCTTTTACATTATATCTTCATACAAAAATAAAAACTTTGGCCAGCTTTCAAATACATTCAATTTAAGTTTAAAATAAAACTGAAATAAAAAGCTTTTAGCTTTAAAGTGCTCAGATCAAACAATCATGCTAAATGAAGTACTTAACCACCAGTCAACCTGGTACTTCATACTCTTGTCTGCTTGATAATAGACTGTAACTACTTATGAACATATTCGGTTTTGATGAGAGAGAGGAAAAAACTATATAAGTTCAGATAAGAACCCGCAACTTCTGACACGCTTGGCAAAAGATCTAGCACTAGACCATTTAAGAACTCAAACAAAATATGCGGATCGATGCATTTACTTACGGGTTGAGCAGAGAGGCTGCACAGTTTGACCAGCGGGCAGCGGCCGCACACCAGTCCGCCGGATGATGTTGCTGAGAACTTACAATGTATCACTATTATCAGACCGGCTCTCGCGGCCTCGAAACTCTACGACTCTCCCGATTGCCACTCCGCCCCTGCACGCCATTACAAAATATAATATGGTGGGCCGTTATCGGCGTTAACTTGCTGCGTTAAAGTGAGACTCTTATCGAGCGATAAAAAAATATTGCCGTTAATCTATTCTCAAAGTTGGGTTGGGAGCTGGTCTATACTATACAAGCTTTGATGACTTTTACCTTGATATTTTAGCGCAGATGTATACCTAGCCGAATTGCACTGTAAGGGGCATTTAATACCAATCTGTTTATCCAGACATTAGGAAAATATCAGTCAATGCATTTTATATTTAATATGAGGGAAATACACTATATCTGTAATGGACGTGACACACAAAAAAAACAAACCTTTAGGTGTACAAAAAGTAATAATACCCATCGGTTGAAGAAAGGTTGGCTCTCCCCACAGAACATAAAATATTAATTTTGTATTATTTTTTTATGTACGCATTTATGAGGGAAAAACGATGTTATGTGACAGTTCCCCGTTACGGACTTGAGCACTATGAAAGCGGCACTGAAAGACTGCTTTAAAACTTTCACATTAAACATAAAGCACAAAGCCTTTCATTAAGTTGAATTTCGTTTTGTATTAATTGTATGTTAATTTTAATCAATGTTTCATCAACCAATTGCCTGGATTTAATAAATAAGAAATAAATATAGCAGACAATAGATAATCACGACATGGAAAAGCGTCAGCGAGTGAACTGAAGCTCGTCTTGTGAGTCATAAATGAACCGAAACACATCGCTTAAAGGGATACTCCACCGGGTTTTCATATTAAACTATGTTATTCCCTTAATTAAGACGAGCTGATGCATACCTCTCTTGTCTCAGTGCGTGCACTCTATCGCTCTGTATTGCCGCAAAACTATGTTAGCACTTAGCTTAGCCCAGTGCATTAAATATGGGCCCAAAAGAGAGGCGACCAAACACTTCCTCGTTTTCCCTATTTAAACACAGTTACTCGATTAGTGTAACTCGACCTAGGCTGGTGACACAAAATAAAACGTTGTGTTTTTCTAAGCGTTTAAAATTGATGACTATATTGTATGGCGGAATACCATAAAAAGTGCTTTAGAGCACTTCAACTTGGCGCAATAATACCTTCACTCGTGAAAAGTCCTCTTACCGGCTCCCGCTGTGTCGCATGTTACATTGGCTGCATTGACGGAAAAAAGAGGGAGGGGGAGAGCGAGGAAGCGGGAGCCGGTAAGAGGACTTTTCACGAGTGAAGGTATTATACGAGGAAGTGTTTTGTCACTTCTCTTTTTGGCCCATATTTAATGCACTGGGCTAAGCTAAGTGCTAACATAGTTTTGCGGCAATACAGAGCGATAGAGTGCACGCACTGAGACGAGAGAGGTATGCATCAGCTCGTCTTAATTAAGGGAAAAACATAATATGACAACCCGGTGAAGTATCCCTTTAAGGCAGGCCTACTTACTTGCCTCAGGAGTGCAGTGGGTGCCATGAGGTGCGACTGTATAATGTAGAGAATAATTACGAAAATGGAGAGAAAATATAAATCGGGCGCATTAAAAGGAAAAGAACGAGATAGTCTTTGTGTTTTATTAACATAAGCTTACTTGGCTCAACAAGTGACACATTATTACATATGCATTCATCAAATATTTATATTTTTGTACGGTTTTAATTTTAAAATGACTTGGTAGCAGAGAGCCCCATGATGAAGAGTCTAGCTCCGCCTCTGCTCATCTTACAAACTACCTGCAAGGTTATTTATTTGGGTAGCATACATATTCTGAATGCCTTCAATGCCTGAATGCCTTCATGAATTCAAATGAGCCATTTTAATCTAGATTAATTCCAAGATTACAGTGAGATTAATCTAGATTAAAAAAAAATCTATGCCCACCACTATAAAAAAAATGTTCGGTTCCAGTCTCCGACCGACCCTGTCAATTTATGTGTGACCCAAATTTATTTTATGAGCTTGGGGAAGAAATAATACAAATTAAGTAAATACACAAATAAAAACTTTGAGGCAAACTACAATTTATGTTTTTGTACAGCACCGTATTTGTATAGCCTGTTGTTTCCAGCAATGCTAACAAAGAGGCACCCACGGGTGTTAACACATCGTTGTTGTCATGTAGATGAACTGCTGCGCTTGTGACAGCATGAACTGAACCAGCAGAGAGAGAGAGAGAGAGAGAGTCCCGTCTCACAACTAAGTCTTGCTCTCTCTCCCTCGCACATATTAATCAAAATAAATCAAGACGATGGCAAGGTCGGAAGACTAAAGTTTCATGTGGATCATTCGGAGATTTATTTTTTTCCTGAATTACCGCTGGGTGGGAATATACGTTGCCTTATCTTCTCTGAAAAGCGTTCCACACATTCAGCTAACATATAAACCACACTTTAAATAAACGAAAAAAATATCCAGTGATGAAATGTTTTCTGTGATGACACAAATCTTGTGGGATGTCCTAACCGCCGGGATAATATCACAACGCGCACACATCCGATAATGACACGTCCAATTCGCAAACTGACTCATTTGAACCGATTCATTTTAATGAATGGTTAAAGCAACTAATCTTTCCTACACTGAACTCACGAGACGTCTGAATCGGTGTATAACTAATCGATAACACTTTACAATAAGGCAACCCTGTTTGCCCCCGTGCACACATTTAAAATCAGCTTGTGTGTGTAACATGCTGGGACACACAAGGTGGTAGTACATGTACAGGTAGGCTATGTTATTGAAAAAACAGAGTAGCCTATCCATCACTACTGTAAAGTAAAATAAACAAATATAAAAATAAAAAATAATGTCCTTTCTATCCCTTGCTGCCACTGGAGAAAAAAAAACAAAAAAACCTACCAACCCATGACCTCAACTGACAACCAACCGTAACCAAACTTAAAAAAAAAAATGTAATGCCTTATATATATATATATATATATATATATATATATATATATATATATATATATATGAATCTTTTTTTTGGAATTCTATTAATCTATTTTCAATCGGTAAAGCTTGAATTGCGATACAAATGTGAATCAATTTTTGTGCACACCCCTAATATTAAGTGTCCCCAATTAAGAAAGGCCGAGGCAACACTAGCAAGAACCTAAACTCTATCAGGTGACATAAATTGAGAAAATATCCTATAGATATAACAGCTTTACACAAATATTTTTTCAAACATGCTTCAATTTGTCTTGGAAATTTGTCATTGTATAAAAAACACTATTGTTGAGGAAATTGTAGTTTTTAAAGGTAAATGTTAGTTTAACTCGGCCTCTTTGCTGTATGTGCTGTTTATGTAAAAAATAAGTGGAAAATTTCATTAATATTAGTATATAGAAAATGTATTGTATGTGTTCAATCTAATTCCGTGTTGTGACTTTATTGTAGGTTAAATAATTGTAACTTAACAGACAAAAGCTGTTCATCTCTGGCTGCAGTTCTTGGATCAGACACCAATCTGAAAGAGCTGAACATGAACAATAATAAGCTGCAGGATTCAGGAGTGAAGCTGCTCTGCACTGGACTGAAGAATATAAAGTGTAAATTGGAGATACTGAGGTAAGTTGAGCCACAGGAGTCACATGACTAGAGTGAGGTGCGATGACTGACAGGGCGATATCGGAGGCAAAAGCGCAAGATAACTTTTGTGAAAAAGATCTTTTATTTATTTGTTACAACGTGGGTATACCATATCAATCCTGTCATTGTGCTATTTTATTGTTGTTGTGTATAAAGGATTATTATGCTCTTAGGGCTAATTAATACCTGGTGGCAACCACCAAAGATTGTCAGATCAGAACAGTAAAGGGTGTCCGTTTAGGAGGGGCCAGATGCACACACCACTCACAGACCACCAGGGCTGGATTAACCATTAGGGCAACTGGGTTCTTGCCTCAGGGGCCCATGACATCTAAGGGGTCCTGGGCACCAGGGGCGGAGTGGCAATCGGGAGAATCGGGAATTTCCCCTGTGGGCCGGTTGTGTTTCGAGGCCGCGAGGGCCGATCAGATCAAATTTATTTATTGCAAGTTGGCCATGCGCACTTGGGGCCCAAGCGAGGGGAAGAATTTTTTTTTTTTTACTTTTTAGATAACGGAGCGTATATTTGCACTAAGTGTCTGTCTTTTTAGCAAAAGAAGCTTGTCACGAAATAGCTACGGTGGCGCAGGTCGTAGGGCTTGAAGCTTTTGATGCTCTCGACCCGAGTTCGAAACTGTCTTTAACGAACTCTCTCTTCTCCCTTTTCCCAACACATATGAGATGTAAAATGTATACCCTAACATAAAGGTCTCTAGCGCTATATTTTGCCAACAAACTAAAATCGAAACCATGATATGGCTTTGTGCTTTTATAAAACAGCACAAGACTTTAAAGGGTTAGTTCACCCAAAAATGAAAATTAAGTCATTAATTACTCACCCCCATCCTGTACCAACCCTGTAAGACCTTCGTTCATCTTCGGAACACAAATGAAGATATTTTTGATTAAATCTGAGAGCTGCATCAGTCCTTCATAGACTGCCTAAGGGACTGGCTCTTGACGGCCCATAAAGTCATTAAAGTTTCAATTATAAGTTTATCAAGCGACGAGACTACTTTTTCTGCGAAAAAAACATAAATAAGACTTTATTCGACTATTCCAATACTTCCTTATGGGCACATGCACGAGAACTGAGACGAGGACGTTCTCCTTCGACTACTTCTTGTTACCGGCTGCTCACGCCCCCCCCAGGGGAGAAAAACAATCCAACCGTCTCCATTGATTTGCATTGCGAGAGGCTGCCTCCTTGTCATTTATGACTTATAACAAAAAACAAAACAATGTTTAAAAGCTGTTGTGAGACAAAGAGTACAGCAAACAAGCCAAATAACCCAGAAATTGTTTTTTTAAGCTGATGGCTACTACTCTGAGAAGCACGCCCATAATTCATAATTTAACCTGAATCTATTTTATCTGAAATTCTGTACGTTGATTTATTTAATTTTTTTGTATCTGAATTTGTGAGCATTGAAAAATATTCATCGAAATTCGGGTTTTTAAAATGGAAATTTTCATAGGCCTGTTTAAAGGTGCAGTGTGGGATTTTTAGCGACATCTAGCGGTTCGGTTGCGAGTTTGCACCAGGTTTGCACTAAGGGCTTAGCCCACTGCTCACCCCTCCCTTTCGAAGAAGCTACGGTTGCTAAAACGGGACAAACATCTCGTCGGCTGAGACAGCAGAGAATAGCCAGAGTAAGACAAGAGTGTGTAACATTGTCACTGTTTCTGTACCACAATCCATTATAAACCACATCATGGATACAGTTTAAAAGCCATAGTCAGGTGAGGATCAAGGGTTTTAATATATAATTTAATATAATAATAGTGATCAGCTGATTGTCTCACAAACGTAACCAGCAGCACATTTCTCCCCACATAACAAACCCATAATACAGCGAGGGAGAACTAAGTTACATGAAACAATCCCAACTACATATTTTACACTACTCACAAGGGAAAAGTCACTACTCACAGAGTTTATGGCTAGTTTCTAGCTTTCTGCTGCTTCTCTTTCAAGGTAGTGGCGAAACGCGTTCTGTAGCACTGTTTGTTCACGTTCGGCTACGGTAGAAAGATGACGTCACGATATGGCGACCTTCATAGAAGGGGATTCCCGCAGTTATGGAAATATAAATGTCTCATTCTAAGATAATAAAAACATTACGGTTTATTAAGTAAGTTCTTTATACACCACTGAAAACATAGTTATGGATGCCATATTGCATTTCTGTTACAGTTTTTCTCAATTGTTTACACACAAATTCTGGTACTTGAGACACAATGACCACAACATGTAACTCATTCACCAACCCCCTGAACCAATTCTGATGAACAACAAGCACAATTCCTGCTTTACACTCAAATTGCAGCTCTAAAACACACTTTTTTCAAAACACTACACACAAATTCTCTGCATTTGGCACAATTTTCATGCAGAAAATCTCTTGTTTTCACGAGGAACACACTACCATTCAAATATTCACACTGACTCGTCACATGGACAAACACACGTCTCACAGTTTTACAATTAGCAATCAGAGCTTTAGTATAAAATACCAAAACCGAAGAGAGGATGCAGCATAGATTTTTACTGTAACAGCATAAACATTTTTTTCTGTTGTTTTGTATGTAGACCACTGTATGTGCAACTTTGTGTTGATTGGGGAGTATGAAATGTGCGATCTATTTCCCATTATTTTTGTGGGAAAAATACAGTAAAATATATTTGTTACCGTGTATTTCTGGATATAAAAACAATATTCTCAAATATTTTACAACACACTTATGTATGTAATGTCTGTAGTAAGTGTAACCCTGAACAAAAAAGGCCCAATTCATTATGATGAATGGAGAAGAAGTGTTTTCCATTGATCATAGTGTTTTACATTGAGCACATCAGTGTTCAACTGGTTCTTATAAATGTCTATTCATATGATGGTTTGTGTGTGTCATTTGAAAACAAAATAGCATTTTGAGAAGAAATAACATTGTTTTGAATGTAAAGTTTCATTTTGCAGGAGAATTGAGGGGTTTTGCCCATTGTGTGAGTGTTTTTAGATTTGTGTGTAGAGTTCTGAGAATATGAGGCATTCTTGCAGGAAATGTGTGTAAACAATCTGTAAAAAACTGTAATAGATACTCAACTTTTTGACATTGCACATTGCACCTTTAAATTTCAGAGGTAAATTCGAAACAAATAAATTCAGACAAATGTTTTTCAAAATAAAATTGAATACAAAACTAGTATTCAAAACTAGTAAAAGTATTCAGTAGCTGTTAAATTTCAAATAGTTATGTCTCTCATTTGCTTCCATACTTTTACAATACTGTATGACAATCGCGGGATAAGAGGCAAAGATAATCGTTAGTGTGTGTGTGTGTGTGTGTGAGAGAGAGAGTGTGTGTTAGTGTGAGAGAGTGTGTTAGTGTGTGTGTGTGAGAGAGAGAGAGAGAGAGATGAGAGTGTGTTAGTGTGAGAGAGAGAGACTGTTTTTGACACTTAAAGCAATTTATTCCATCATTAAAGTTAAAAAAATAAATAAATGTAGTATTCCGTCATAGTGACTATAACAAACAATTCACTCTGTCTCGGTGTATAACAGTTGTTTTACTATCAATGCCAACGGCGAGAGAATTTAGTTTTGCTGTGGACAAATCAAAATTAAGTCTCATAAGACACTTGAGTAAAGGCTCGTGTGTTTTGTGTCTTAATCAATCTTTCCCACACACATATAAATTATAACTCGTACTCATCGCTCTGTCCATTTCAGCAAATGACGTTTTGTGAAGGCCTCTCCTGTTGTTTTGGTGCTTTTCAACATGCACGTGCACCCCCTGCTGGTAAAGCCGTCTAACAGCAGATAGAGAGTATGCTCAGTAAATCTACTGCTTTTCCTGCAGTTTCTGGATGTCACCGTTGAATTTACTGTTAAATTTGAACCACTGAATTTGTGTAGGCGAATTTTCAAGGTGAAATAAAATGTACCGAAAATTGCCTGTTGAATATTATAGGTTGTATTTTTAAACAGTTTGAAAATTTTGGAAGTGAAATATGAAAGGTGAATATGGATTATTGAATTTTTAATAATGAAAAATATTTTTAATTGAAATATTCACAGCTTAAATATTCAGCCATGTTGAATTTCAGCCCATAAAAATGTAAGCCTTAAAAATACAATGGATTAAAATGCAAGCAGGATTAACACAATGCTTTTTTTTGAATTGGTGCAATTCAACATGCTTTTTGTTTCAAAAAAATTAGACATTATTTTACTTCCATACACTTCCACCTCACATTCAGCCAATCACACGCTCCGAAAGCACACTTCCGCCTCACATTCAGCCAATCACACGCTCCGAAAGCACACTTCCACCTCACATTCAGCCAATCACATGCTCCGAAGGCACACTTCTACCTCAGATATTGTATATCATGCATACAAGAATCAAAAGTTTAAACTAAAACACTCAATATTCATTTATTCACTCAATATATCAGTATACATTTATACGCAATATCTCACAGAGTATAATTTCACAATAAATTTCTACAAACATTTTCACTTTAGTATTTTGTGATCTGATGAAGATGAAGATCTCTCTTCCTCTGTTTTATTTGCTGATGAAGATGATGTGACTTTACAGAATAAAGAGTCTCTTATTTTCTTAATTCTCTCTCTCTCTCTCTCTCTCTCTCTCTCTCTCTCTCTCTCTCTCTCTCTCTGCTAATGTAGGTTAAGCTGCTGTGTTAAGACAGATGAAGGTTGTTCTGATGTGACTTCAGCTCTGAAATCAAACCCGTCACACCTGAGAGAGCTGGACCTGAGTGTGAATAATCTAGGAGACTCTGGAGTGAAAAACCTCAGTGATCTACTGATGAACCCACAATTCAAGCTGGAGAAACTACAGTTAGTGTCATTATACTGTACAGCAATTACAGTGTGACTGAAGTTTATTTATTTGAAGACAGCAGGGCTTATGTTTCATTGGTTATAGCAGTGCACTTTCTGGGTTTCCCTATTGCTCACATTTTTATGTTTTGTTAATCTACACTGTGTGTAATTATTCTGTGGCTTAGTAAATATCACAGTAATATTTAACTTTATTAACTTAATAAAATCTCTGAATATCATTTGCTTGATTGTTTGAGCTAAACGTACCAAAATAATTGACTAAAAATCCAACAGTTAATTTCATCTAAAATTTACAGTTATATTTATTTATTTTTTTCACTATTAGAATTTATTATTTGACTAACCAATAATTTATGTATAATACACTTAACATAATTGTGAAATTTCTATCAAAATATTTGAGATTGGAGAATTAAACTTATATGTTTCAAGAACCACAAATATTACATACAATTATTACATAAATATATTTAACACACTCTTGAGAGATTGAGCAGATTTACTCAGTTAAAACAATTTTATTTGTTAATGTACAGATGCAGTTACTCAGATCTACTTCATTTTTTATTTACATTTGCTCAGTTTATACAGTGTATTGTAATTTCACTGCTTTAAAATGTAATCAATATTTTTAATTGTTTCACCAAAATAAATTAGTAAATCATATAAAACCTTTTAGAGTGTAGATAGTAATTGTTTAATTCCCAACATCTGATACAATGCACTGATTGTGTACACACAGAAATCTGCCTTTTCAACAGAGAATAAAGAAGAGAGACGTCAAATAAATAGTTAGAAATGAAAGAGAAGAAACAGTGTCTTCCAGCGCACAGAACTAGTGTGACTGGGTTTTAAAACAGACTATTGGAAACTAAATGCTGCTGTAGCTCTTCAATAAGATGATCATCATAGATGTGAACTATTGTTATTTCTCTGTCTTCAGTCTGAGTTATTGCAGTATTACAGAGAAACAGAGTCTCATCCTGACTTCAGCTCTGAAATCAAACCCGTCACACCTGAGAGAGCTGGACCTGAGCAGGAATAAACTAGGAAACACAGGAGTGAAGCACTTATGTGCCGTACTGAAGGATTCACACTGTAAACTGGAGAGATTGAGGTCAGTCACATTCACATACAAGAATCAAAACACTTAAAATCACTTCAACTCTTTAAACTAGAACACATTAACATTATATTTGTACAAACATTTTCAACTTAGTATTTTGTGATCTGGTGAAATAAAGATGAAGATCTCTCTTCCTCTGTCTGTTTTATTTGCTGATAAAGATGATGAGACTTTACAGAATAAAGAGTGTCTTATTTTCTTTATTCTCTCTCTCTCTCTCTCTCTCTCGTGCGCATGCGCGTGTTTGGTTTGGTGTGGTGAGGTGTGAGAGGGAAGTTTGATTGATCTTTAAGCTTTTTTCTTTTTTTCTACACTTTATGGCTTTTTTCTCACCTTAGTCATTTATTACGTGTAAAGTAAACTGATCAGAACAGTTGCTTTTCGTAGCCAGTATTTGCATCCATTTGTGGAATTTAAACATGGCATCACCTCTCGATGTGGGAACGCCAGTTTGTTTCATTGGAAATGGATGCAAGTGCTTTCCTGATCAAGTTTGCACGGTGGAAGATGTTCTTATGGCCATGGGAAATGTTGTTGGCCATGAAAAGATAATTTCGGCGTCTAGAATGAACAAGGCCGTTGTTGTGTTTTTGGAGGAAGAAAAGTTAGTGAACGTGCTCGTGGAGACTGGGATTGAGATATCGGACACTTTTGTGCAGGTGACACCTTTGCGCTCTCCTGCGACGCGTGTCATAATCTCGAACGCGCCTCCGTTCATAGCAAATGATGCGATCTTAAAAGAACTAAATCGCTTTGGAAAATTTGCGAGTGGAATTAAAAATGTTCCGCTCGGCTGTAAGAATAAAGAGCTGAAGCACGTGACGTCCTTTCGGAGACAGGTTTTCATGTTTTTGAACGCACCGACGAAGTATTTGGAAATTTCCTTTCGTGTACAACACGGTGAAAGTTCTTACATGATCTTTGCAACCACGGAAAGTATGCGGTGTTTTGAATGTGGGGACTTAGGTCACAAGAAATTACTTTGTCCTCACAAAAAGCAAAATGAGGAGACAACTGTTGAGACTGTAAATAAGGAAATGACTAATCACTCTGTTTGCGAAAAAACTAGCGAAAAAAATGAAAAAAGACCTACATTGGTTAAAGAAACGAGTGTGCAACCTAGGAATAAAAAACTAAGATTACAAACCGAAAATCAAATTGATGAGACTGAGGATGAAAGCCCAACTATCAGTGGATGTTTGGATCAACCCCTAGAGAACACACCGGCTTTAGAAGTACATGAGTCTGACAAGGAGTCAGTGTCAAGACCAGAGGTGAGTGAACCTTCTTTGCCGATAGTGCTGGGTGTTTCAGAAGGAGCAGATCACAGTCTTACCTTTTGCAATGATATGGAAATTGAAAAGGCAAGTGGAAGTGGTTTACAGTTTGTTGAGATGGATTATAACTTGTGTGTTGATGAATCAAGATGTGATAGTGATAGTGCTTCAGAGGTTTCTGAATTTGAGTTGAGCCAATCACCTGGAGACTTGTATACTGCGGAAGAAATTAATGATTTTCTGGATCGTACAAAAGGGCAGAAAGTGGATGTTATGAAGTTTTTTCCTGATGCTGTTAAATTTTTGAAGTCAGTCATGTATGTTCAGAAAAGTGTAGGTTGTGATGTCCTATCAAAACAAAAAAGATTTCGGTTGAAAAAACTGGCCACAGTAGTTCGTAAAAGTTTACGAGGAAGGAAACACAACAAATAGGTTCACATGGTTACGGGTGCTGCTCTCATCTATTTTCTTCTCTGTCTGTTTTCTTTCTTGTTATTTCCCCCCCTCTTTAATATGCATATTTTAAGAATCAGTTCTTTAAATGTAAATGGGGCAAGGAATAGAGAAAAACAAGGTTGAGTTTCTTAAGCTCAAGGATTCACATGTAACTTTTTTACAAGAAACTCATAGTGATGAGGATAATGAGACAGATTGGGGATTGTGTTGGGAGGGCAGTTACTCTTTAAGCCATGGTACGAATCTAAGTGCTGGGGTAGCCATTCTTTTTTCATCTAACCTAAACACGGATATTTTGTCAAAGGTACAATTAGAAAAAGGTCGCCTTCTTGTTGTTAAGGCAAAAATTGATGAACACAATTTTGTATTTGTTAATATTTATGCCCCAAACAGAAGTGCAGATAGAATAATTCTATTAAAGAAACTGAGTGATTATTTGAAAAGTGTAAATACAGATGACTTTCTAATATTAGGAGGTGACTGGAATAATACAGTTGATTTTACCATGGATAGGAATCATACTGAACCAGATTACGAATCCCCTGCTTTTTAAAAAAATATTCTCATTCAAAATGATTTGTTGGACGTTTGGAGAGTGAGGAATGCAAAAGTTAAGCAGTATACTTGGATTAAAGTTTCACAAGAGAGAATAAGTGCAGCTAGATTAGATCGATTTTATGTTTGTAAAAAAACTAATAATAGGATTGTGGCTGCAAATATTGTACCTTGTTGTTTTTCAGACCATCATTTTGTTACGTGTAATTTGACTTTGTCACAGACTCAGTGCAAAAGTCCTTATTGGAAATTGAATGTTCGTTTGTTACAGGAGAAGGACTTTTTTGTCAGTTAATGACATGGATGCACCAACTGCGTATTTTTTTAATCTTGAAAAAGTCTCAAAAAAACAGAGTGTGATGCATTGTCTGACATCCCCAGATGGGTCTAAAACATCTGACCCAAAAAAGATGAGGAAAATTGCTGTGGACTTTTATTCAGATCTTTTTAGAGCTGATATGTGTGACTCACAGAGTACTTTGGACTTGTTAGAAAACCTTCCAACTATTGGTGGTGAACAACATGCAAGTTTGGACAGTATTTTTTCTTTTCAAGAACTGACTGAAGCTGTGCAACAGATGAAGCCCGGTCGTGCATTGATGGTCTGCTGGTGGAATTCTATAAAGTCATGTGGGGAATTATAGGTGAAGACTTTTACGAGGTTGTTCAGAAATGTTATGAAGAACAAAAACTTCCTAAGAGCTGTCAGAGGGCTGTCCTTGCTCTTATTCCTCTTAAAGAACTGGAGACCTGTTTCTATCCTCACTAATGACTATAAAATATTGGCAAAAGTTTTGGTGAATAGGTTGAAGTGTGTTTTGAGTGATATTATTCATAAGGATCAATCATATTGTATCCCAGATAGAACTATTTATGATAACATATTTCTGGTCAGAGATTTACTAGATTATTGTAAACTAAATGGAATCAATCTAGGCCTTCTATCATTAGACCAAGAGAAGGCATTTGATCGTGTAGATCATGATTATTTATTTAAAACTTTAAAAGCTTTTGGATGTGGTGATGTTTTTCTTTCTTGGATTAAGATTTTGTATAAAAATGCTTCATGTTTAGTGAAAATTGGAGGAGACTTAAGTTCGCCAATACGAATGCAAAGGGGAATCAGACAGGGATGTCCTCTGTCTGGTCAGTTGTATGCACTAGCAGTTGAACCTTTGTTGTGTTTATTAAGAAAAAATGTGTCTGGTGTTTGTGTTGGAAACAGTATTTATAATACAATTAAGTTGACGGCTTATGCAGATGACATTACTGTTTTTGTTAAGACCCAAGCAGATGTAAACAAAATCAAGAACTGCCTTTGTTTATATGAAAAAGCATCATCTGCTAAGTTAAACTGGAGTAAAACTGAAGCATTGTGGTGTAATGGACATTCAACAGAGGTTTTACCTTTTATTTCTGAAAATGTAAAATGGGGAAAATTTGGACTAAAATTTTTAGGGATTTATTTAGGTAATGAAGAGTTTCAAAAAAAGAATTGGGAGAATGTAAAGGATAAAGTATGTGCTAAGTTATCTAAATGGAGCTGGTTGCTACCTCAACTATCATACAGGGGAAGAGTGCTGGTGATTAACAATCTAGTGGCATCCACCCTGTGGCACAGGCTTAATGTTTTGGAGCCACCAATGGATTTTTTTGTGGACATTCAGAGACTTCTTGTTAATTTTTTCTGGTCTGGAAGGCACTGGCTGAAAGAAGCTGTATTGTATCTACCAGTCCAGGAAGGAGGTCAAGGCTTAATCAACCTTAAGTCCAGGTATGCGGCATTTCGTCTAAAGACTGTCCAGAGGTTTCTGTATCATCAAGACCAGAACTGGATGGAAGTGGCGTGTACCCTCTTGAAGAGGGTTGGCCGTCTGGGTCTTGACGGACATCTGTTTTTAATGGACTTAAAGAATATGGACCTTAATGGACTTACACCTTTTTATGCTTCTGCTTTACAAGTGTGGCAGTTTCTGTCTGTGGGAAGAGTAAACGTCTGGGACCTGGAAGAGCCTTTATTTTTTAATGGACTTTTGTCAATTGAGCTTCTGAATTCAGGTACTCTTCGCACTAATTTGATAAAAGCCGGTATATGTAAAATTGGACATTTAAAAGATGGCAACCAGTGGATTACAGTGGAAGAGCTGCATCTTAGAACAGACATCCGGTCTCTTCGAATTCTTCAAAGACTGCTGGAAGAGATAAAGAACCTTTTTAGTCTTCAACCATTACACCTGGAGAGTTTTGATGGACTGTTCCCTGAATTACGTGTGACTGCTGAAGTGGGAGATTGGGAGGAAACTGAAGGGTGTTTACTAACTTTTAGAACACCTGGGGCCCGTTTCAATAAAGAGGTTCAACCAACTCTGAGTTAAAGCTTGAACTCTGAGTTGACTTACCCTGAGATGGGAAACTCTGAGTTTTCAGTTTCAGAACAGCTGAAATGAGTTAGTTCAATCAACTCTGAGTTGACTGACTCTGAATTAAGCACGTGCATGACAACTATAAAAAGCCATTATCAATGGAGCGCAGATATTATGAGTCACCATGGCAACAGCGCCAGACAAAAAGAGGTGTTTGGTGTGATTAATTACCAAGTAATCTAAATATTGTAACTCTTAATTCTTCTGTAATTTAAAATAAAATATGATGCAATTACATTAAATAGGCTACTGCATAAGCCAATTCAATATAAAACAATAGTGGATTTAACATACATTTTTAAAAGGTGTATTTTTATGTAACCTTCTCCCTATACACACTTTGATCAATTCAAGAATAATTCATGCAATTGTATATTGTGAATTTGAAAGAATTAAAAGTGCAGTTTCTTGTCTCTCCTCTTTGTATTAATCAAGTGGTTGAGGTTGAGATTTAGCAATTAGTAATATGTAGACCAATACTTTCTAGAGATAGTAGCCTAATTATTACATTAATCTAATTACACAGTTGAAGATGTCATTTGTAGTTAATAATTCATAACTATTTTAGAGTAACTTACTGTTATAATATAGAGGTGAAACTGGAAGAATGTTATTCAACCTAAAGTAGACTACTATTACTTTGATAAATTTTTACTTAAGTAAAAGTAAAAATACCAGCCTAAAAATTTACTCAAGTAAAAAGTAGTTAATTTAAAACATGAGTTAAAGTTGCTGAGTAACTTGTTTAACAGCGGGGGTGGGGTGGGGGACTCCCCATGTGGGGAGAGTTTCTCAGTATGAGAACCGTCTCAGAAAATATCACGGTTTATGGTATTAAACAATTATTAAATATATAAACTGCATTCTTAAATTACGGTTATTATTATCATCAGTTAAAATGACAGTTAAATAAATTAAAAAATTGTTCAATAAAACATATCTAATCAACTAACTTCAATAATTGATTATGAATAAGATTAACATCTTATTTTTTATCATTAATAACTTATTAAATTATGTTTGAAAAATAGCTGAGTTCTATTAAATGTTTTTTATTCCAATTTTTTAATGATTTAATAGAAATATATGATCAAAAACGGTGGTAATCAAATAAAAGTTTAGCAAACTTTTTAAATCCTTTTATTTTTTGGCAAAGTGCTGCAAAACAGATTTAGTCAATTAACCATGGACAACAATATATATTCCTTAAAGAATGTGTAAATACATTTTAGTGTTATTTTTGGTGTTTAAACAGCACTTCCTCTTTAAAAAAGGGGAGGAGACCGCAAGAAACTCTGGGTTTACTGAAGAAAACCTGCTCCCGACCAGGTTAGGTTCACAGAGTAAGTTACCATGGTAACTGACTCTGAGTATAAGTTACCTCTCTTTCAGAAACGGGCTTGACTTACTCTGCTTTCTCAGGTTTAACTTACCTCCCTTTCTGAAACGGAAAACCCAGAGTTTCCCTCATTTCAGGGTTAACATACTCAGAGTTTTCACTTAACCTCCTTTCTGAAACAGGCCCCTGAGCTTGGAAAGTTTGAACTTCTTTCTAAGAAAGCCCTGTATCTTATTTGTGTTAAAGTTCTTAATTTAAGGGCTCTGGACAAAGTGATGGAGTCAAAATGGACTGGATTTCTTGAGCCAGGCTCTTCCCCGAGAGGTAGTTGGAGGTCCCTGTATAAGAAGCCCATCGAAAAAAGACTAGGTGACTTACAGTGGCAGATTGTACATTGGGGAATAGCCACAAACAGATACAAAGCACATCTGGATCCTTTACATAGTGTTGATTGTAGTTTTTGTGGGGAATTTGAAACAGTTAATCACCTTTTTGTTGAATGTTCAAGATTAAGAGAACTTTTTTGTTTGTTAAAAGATGTATGTCAGAGTTTAGGTTTTTTGTTTACTAATGGTTTATTTATATTTGGACCAAATATAGTGCTAAAAATAAACAAAAAGTAGTATTATTGAATTTTATTTTTGGTAAAGCGAAGATGGCAATTTGGTTAACTAGAAAAAATAAGACTCTCAATTTAAGAGGAGTCGATCCAGTGCTTATGCTTAAAGGATTGGTAATGGGACGTTTGATGCTGGAATTTGCTAATATGAAATGGTAAATGATATTGAGAAAATTTTTTGATGTGGGGAACAGAAGGCCTGTTGTGTAAGCCCGATGAAGGGCAAGG